CTGGTATTTCTATGAGTGCTCAGTGGATAAGGAGTTGAACACTACAGGGGAACTCTTCAAAGGCTCTCAAGGAGTGGGGTGCACCAATTGTTAACCCGCAAGGCAAAATGAGGATTGACACAGCTCTTTGGAGATTGTTTGGGTGACTAACAGACTGGTGGTGTCAGGGAGCTGGCACCCACACAAGCACTGGCAAGTCTCCCTCTCGCTGGAGGTGGGGCAGTAACAAGATGACTCATAATCCTGGGCACTCCAAGAACCACCACCTTCCACAATTTAACTTCACACTGGGAAACTGGGGTATTTCCCTTGTGTAGACAAGTTCTCAGTGGACTTTGTACAGAAATTGGGGGAAGAAATGCTCCCCACCAACGTGGGGCTTGATGCAGTGTCTGCACAGATACTATCCTTTTGCCACGGGCCAGGGGCTGTAGTTGCGACTAGGGTCCACTTGTGTTCTTTCTGCTGGTTGGCTAGGCATATGGATTCAGTCACATGAAGAAACAAATGTATTACCCATATTGCAGCAGCAGCCAGCAAAAGTTCATCTATACAGTTAGTAAGTCATTAGCATAGTCAGGACTCAGGTTTTTCAAGATCGGGTGATTATAAACACCTGACCCCTGCCTGCACCACTACTATTGGTAGTAATAATGCAGCTGTAGAGTTATTGTGGGGGAACATATATACGAACTTTCCTAGTGCAGGCAAAACTGTAATGGCAGATCCAGTGGCCATTCTCGCAATATGTTGCCCCATTCTGCATTATCTTAGGGAGGGAAAAGTCGTGAACAAGAACTCCATAGCAAATAGATTCTTTGGAGTCCCTCTTTCTGGTTTCTGAATGGAACTGGTGAATTTCTCTTTAGGTCTTTTCATGCCTGATGAGAATCCTAGCATTTGGGCAACCCTGTGAGAGCCTCTAATGGCCAAGTCATCAAAGGTCTGCCTTCCTTTTCTCAAAAAGTGCTATTAGATATGTGGACAGCCTCAAGAGTGGGATAGAAAAGATATTTGATGTCTCATTTAAAGGACAGCCCTTCTAACAGGGAGGCAATAATACTTACCATCAATGACCAGGATTGTATATTTACTCAGGTCGAGTGCCCTCTGAAGATGGATGGGAAAATCCCATTAGATCTGCTAGATGTCAGTTTCTTTGTTTTATTCTGCTGCTCTGCACTGATGTATGATAATAGCTGTCTGCATAAAGGTGTGCATTTATTATAATCTGTAAAGTACAGACAAAATGGGATAAGTGATACACCAAGGGAATGAGCTATGTCTATTTTATGTTTACATTAAAGATGTTAGAATTTTGTGGGTAAATTGGGAGCTGCCAATGCTACCTCTCTGATTACTGTTACTGAAAGACTTTTTTCCAGTAAAGCTGCAAAAGGCAAAGATTAGTATAGTTGTCCACTGCAATATGTTACACACTTATTTGGTACATGTAATATTAAAAAGCTTTTAAAATGAAACCTTTTAAACAGAAATACTTAGTACTATTGTTTCTCCTGATGTCAAGCTTTAGGGTGGTGAATTTTACATGTAGAAATGTCTTTTTTTGGAGAAAGACACTAAGGTAATAGAGGCTATGTAAGTACCTTAGATTGCTAAGTGCCTATCCCCCTTTTTGTATTTGTATTGTGGGGCTAGTGATGTTAGGGTACCTAGAGCTTTGGATAGGTATCTTTTTATTTTAAATATAAATATAAATATAAATAACAATTAAATTTCACAGATTGGGAACTGAGGCACAGAGAGATTGTAACTTGCCCAAGAGCAAGTCTGTGGCAGGAAAGGCCCTCGTCTCTGGATCACCCTTACCCCCTTTCAACTTCTGTGTATAAATATATATCTTAAGACATGATTTTTCGTTTGTTTTATTTATCATAGATGGAGCTGGCAACACAGCTTAATATTAAGGTTTTTCATACTTCAAGTTATAAGATAACCACCTCCCCCAGTTGCTTATAACATTGCCAAACTTTAACTATTTGGGAGGGAATTTTACATGCTGGATGTCTGCCTCAGGCTGGCCTTTTTTTAAAAAGAAAGAAAAGAAAAGGGGGGGGGGGAAAAGCGTCAGCCAGAATGATTCAGTTGTTTCTGAGAATGAAGTTAGGGAAAAATATTGTTTTTCCATGTTAAATAAAAGTTCTTACAACCATTTGGTTGAGAAGCTCCTAGTAATTCCTGCTTTGAATTACTGTCAGAAATGTGCCTTTCACTGTTTCTGTGAAAATCTGCCCAAATGTGGCCATTATAAACCTTTTGGAAAAAATCTCGGTTCTCAAGCGCACAGTAGAGATTTGTTAGATCTTCACAGCTGAACTCTGAAGCTTCTCCAGTCTTCACCACTTCTGGTATGAATGGACTGTGCAAACTCCTTCCCCAGAACAACTGGGCATGTTCTAGCCCAGGGCTACAGGGCCTCTGCAGGGCTTGTCCTGCAACTGCAGCTCCTGGTTGCTGCAGGCTGGGATGGAACCTGCTCTGTGAGGAGGGAGACTGTCTCCTGTGCTTTCCTTGAACCCCTGGCTTGGCACCCAGACAGCATTGGAAGAGGAAGGTACATGACTCAAAAGCAAAGATGACAATAGCTAGCATGGCAGGTAGGAGGCATGAGACCCGGTGGAAGAGCTTGGATGGTGCAGGTAAGAGTGGGACTAGAATGAGGAGACAGGAGTGGGACAGGCTGGAGATGGCAGGGGTTTAGGACTAAGATAATTGAATGCTGCCCTAGAGAAGTGGATTCTGTCCCTTCTTCTGCCACAGAGGTCCTGGGAAATACTGAGCAAGTCATTTTAAAACAGATTTTTTCAGCTGGCCACTACTTGTGTACTCTTCATTTTATGGGTGTCTGATTTGATACCCTGGAATCTGATCTGCAGAAGTGATGAGCACTTATTGGTGCAACTGAAATCCGTGGGAGCTGTGCTTGAACATACAGTGTGTTATAAATGCTAAGTGCTCAAAACAACCCGCATCTGGTCCTAGGCATCTCAAATTAAGCACCCACAATTAGTGGTCTTAATATTTCTGTGCCTCAGCTGCCCATCTGTAAATTGCCTCTCACCAGGTTATCGTGAAAATAAATTTGTTTGTGAAGCACTTGGATATTCTAGAGGTGAGTCCATGAGGAAATGAATATTCTGTCTTCAATGCAGGGTTCGAATAGTATGCAGTAAATAAGGAATAGGGTCACACTTTGAACAATAAGGATATAACAAAATGTTGAATAGCTGCTCATTATGTGAGCACCGACCACCTGTGCACTAAATGAGGCAGGGGCTCTGCAGAAATAATATTATGTAATGAAAGACTATACCATAATGCATAGGCACAAGAGGGCTGGAATTAAAGTTGCACAGGCTTACCTTCATTCTTGCATTTCCTAACTTGAGTGCTTGACTTTGTAACATTTGAGGTTTTTTAGCAGTATTTTTGTGTATAATTTCCTAGGTTGTAAACTTCGTAAACTCCTGGAGTTTTGTACTTATAGTTGAGAGAGAAACTTTATTATATGGCAGGTCTCAGATCACAAATTCTGCTTCCACTACAGAGTTCCATGAATGTAGGTAGAGTACTATAAGGGAGACTTTGTCCGCCAACGAGAAGAGAATTTTGATTTTACAAGAAATATACTAAAGAGTACCTAATATATTGTTAAAGGACTCTGGATTATGCAACACTTCTATTCTTTTAACCAAAAGAGATTCAGCCATGACAACAGTCTTACAATGTGACTTTATTAAGATATGAGAATTTCCTGTTTATATATGTGTGCATGTTCTACCTATGTTCATGAAACTGTACAGGGACAGTAGAATTTGATTCAATATCTGCCTCATAATTGAGAGAGAAGTTTACAAAGCTCCAGGATGTCTCAGGTTGGAACAGGGTTTGAAGAGGAAAAGAATGTTTCAGACAGACATCTCTATAAATAATCATGTTTAACTCCATGTTCTCTGTTATGACCTACTGTTCACAATATAATCTCGCCTGTATGCATTTGTTCTCTCTTCTTACCTTCTTATAGGGATTTTCAGTTGTGATCCAAGAGAGAGTTAAATTAAATGTCCAGATTTTTGTGTGTGTGAAATTGAAAGCCCAGTTGGTTTGCTTGTTCTCCCCCACCCCAAAGAAAAAAATAGATGCGGGGGGAAATGTGGAATTATGTGGTTGTTCAAGACCTTGGTGCTTGGTGGAACAGTATGTTCTCATAAGCCTTTCATAAATATCTGGGAGATGTCTGTCTTTGTTTCATTTTGACTTTACCCTAAAGGTGTATCACTGCTTTGATGCTGTGATATACAGGATAGTAAATAATGCATGAAAAGAAAAATCCAGTGTTTGGTCTCTATCTTACTCTCAAATTCCTCTGAACTAATATAACATTATAATTTATGTGACTTTGGATAACCCAAGTTCTTCTCTTCTATACTTTTATGTTCCATGTTTCTGGTGTGTTTAACGTTGTATCAATGAATTCTGTTATTTGTATGCCGTGTTCTACAGAGCTTTCTAAATGTACAGAGTTTACCGTTGTTAATCAAAAAGGTCAAGTGTTTGAAAGAATGGTTGTTTGTAAAGAAAAGATTACAAAAAGCCCCAGCAATAACCTGTAGCTTGTTTACATGTATAGCCTGCAGAATGTTGTTAGTTACTAAGCAATACTGTACAGAGAGGAGGATGTCAGAAAGCATGCGCGCACACTCACACAAAAAGTAAATATTCATATATATCAGTTTCAAATACCCTTATTCATGTTGAATATATCATCTTACTCCACACATAATTTCACTGACTTGAACAGGGCTATTTGAGGAGTAAGGTACTACTCGTTGTGACTAAAGGTACATTAATCCAGCTCTATGCAATTTGCTTACAAAGCATTCTACTCAGATGGAAGTCTCAAGGAAATGTATGTTAGTGTTTAACTAAGTCCTGTTTTGTCCTGCATTACAATCTGATGTGTTTTGTCATTTTTACAGATTTCTATGAGCTGCAGAGTCAATAAAGAAATGTCCATCCTAAGGTGATGCTTGCACCTCATTGACTTGACTACAGCGTTTTCAACAGAAATTGAATATGGCCTAGTAGGATTGACCTTTGGAGAATTTATGATGTCCTCCAGTACTAGTAGAAGCAAGAACCGGCAGGCTGTGAGCCTGCAGGGAGTTGACCCAGAAACGTGCATGATAGTGTTTAAAACGCATTGGGGACAGGTAATATGATTTAGTAATACTTGATAGTTGTATTGATTTTGAAGTAGGTTGCATTCATAGGAATCCACTCAAAGCAAAGACTGATATGGTAACACTGCACTTTCCAGATACAAGCCCGTATTTCACAGAGTTTATTGGCTAACATTGAAACATGTTTAATAATATTATAACTCAGTTTTTGAATTACAGTAGGACCTTGCTAATCCACACTGAACTAGACCTCAGATTTGCAGCAAAAAGAGAGGTAATGTTGCCTAATGATCTGGTACTGGAATTGGGAGACCTAGATTCTGTTTTCAGATCTCCCAATGACTCACTGGTGTATTAGACAGGTCACTTATCTTCTCTGTGCCTTTGTTTCCCTATCTGTGTAATGGGGAGAATAATGCTTAACCACCTTTTGTGTAAAGTGTTTTTAGATCTAAGGGTGAAAAGCTCTTCTGGTATTAATAATTGACTACATATTTTCAGGTTGCATGGTGTAATTTACATATTACTGGCTTCTTATTCTGCCGGGTGCTTTTTCAAAAAGCTATTTGTATTGCTGCTGAAAAGGAAGCTGGCCTAAGGTCTTTATTATTCCTGAAACTCTGTTGTAGGGTTTGAAGAGCCACCTGGTGGCTGATCTTGTGATGACCACTAAAGCTCAGATCCTCAAAGTTATTTAGGCACCTAACTCTCATTGAAATCAATAGAAGCTTGAAATCAGTGGGAGTCAGGTTCCTAAATACCTTTGAGGATCTGGGCCTTAGTGCCACTGAGATGTTAAGCGACACTCATTTTAGGAGAGCTGTCACTACCCTCCATTTCTGTCGCATAGACTGATGTGTTACAGGAGAATCTGTAGTGACCTGCAAATTTCTGATGCCTGAGAACAATGGACCATTTTTAGTGAGGCATCCTGTAGTGAAGAAACTCTTAATTTAAACATCTTGTGGTATTCAGCCTAGTCAAGGGAGCTAACTGAGGTGGCCTCTGCTCTGTTCTGTGTGGGAGAACAGGCCACCTCAGCTCTGCTGTCTCCTCTTGGGGAGGAAGAGAAGGCAGAAAGGGGGAGGAAGTGATATTGTGATTTAGCCTAAAGAACAGGGTGGAGTAGTGGCATTTATTACTTGTTCTCAATGTTGGGTTGATTACTGCAAGAGTGTGCAGGAAGCAGTGGCCACTCTGTTCTCACTTAGCACCTTGCATGATCATGTCTTATCTGAGCACCTTCTACCACTGGGAAAATAGAATGCTCAGGGCCTTGCAGAGTCTGACCATGAAATTCGTGGTGGTGGTGGTGGTGGTATTTTCACCCATTCCTAATGACTTTACTACATCCACATTTAACAAATCCTGCATACCTTACCGAGGGCAATATTTTGATAACACTTGCTCACACTGAATAGTACCTTGCGTAGGCCCATTAACTTCAGGCCTCTGTTGCACAGAGTTTGGCTGACAATGAAAGAAACTTGCCTAAGACAATAGTATAACTCAGGTTCTACTGTACTTCAAATCTATCTAATCCACACTTTAATAAATTCCAAATTTGCAGCAATGGGGCTACTTGTGCAATAAGGGACTGGTCAGTGTGACTAAAGATGTCACAGTTTAGTCCAGAATGTGTGACAAGTGTGAAGTTTTTAAAGATTGATTTATCAGCGTGCAAAAAGTTTAAAGCCTGAAAAGTAAAAGACATTGATCTGTTTCTATTCAACTATATATTTTTAAACATGTATACTGGGATGATAAATGTGCATTTGGTTTGTTTAGGTTGTAAAAATCTTAGAGAAGCATGACCCTTTGAAAAATACTCAGGCGAAATATGGGGCAATTCCACCAGATGAGGCCAGCACTGTGCAGAATTATGTGGAGCATATGCTTTTCTTATTAATTGAGGAGCAAGCAAAAGATGCTGCAATGGGGCCTATCCTTGAGTTTGTGGTCACAGAGAACATAATGGAGAAACTCTTCCTTTGGAGCTTGAGGCGGGAGTTCAACGATGAGACAAAAATTGAGCAGCTGAAGATATACGAGATGCTGGTTACTCAGTCCCATCAGCCTGTGCTGCACCACAAGCCCATCTTGAAGCCTTTGATGATGTTGCTGAGCTCTTGCTCAGGAACAGCCACACCAGCTGTGGAGTTGGAGCTGGCTGTCCTGCTGAACCAACTCTGCTCTATCCTAGCCAAAGACCCTTCCATTCTGGAACTGTTTTTCCACACCAGCGAGGACCAGGGAGCTGCCAACTTCCTCATTTTTTCCCTTTTGATTCCCTTCATCCATCGGGAAGGAACAGTAGGTCAGCAGGCTCGTGACGCTCTGCTCTTCATAATGTCCCTGTCAGCTGAGAACAACGTTGTTGCAAATCACATAGTAGAAAACACCTACTTTTGTCCTGTAAGTTGTTGGTTTTTGTTTTTGTTTTTTACCATAAATTTACTTTCTAACTTTTCACTTTTTTGCTTTTTTCTTCCACTATCCTTTTTAGAAAAGATGATTCATTTTACTTATTCCATAATTCTAAACTATAGGGCTGGAAACCATGCTAGTCCTGTAGAAATTACAGATGCTATCAGTGGTGGGGAAGGGCGTGGCTGGCAAGGGAAACAGTTTTCACCATTAACCACCAGCTTGCTGAACAGAGGCTTCGTTTATCAAACTTGGCAGTAGGGGTCCCTGTTCTGTCTTTTATACCAATAGGTATGTTCAGCTTTAGTACTTATTAGAAATGCAACTTTACAATCTTAAACAATAATAAACCTATTACTTTAAAGAGACAACCAATCAACCCTCCCGCAGCAGAATAGTTGTTTGCTAAGCAAATGTTAAACCAGGGTGCAAAGATGGATTTCTCCTGTTTGAAGGCTTCTTTGCTTGTCTCCAAGTAAAATAAGAAATTGGGGCCTGAGATGAAATTATGGATGCTACATGTGGCATTTGGTAAAGAGGGCCAAAACAGAGCTATATAAGACCACCTGAAAAAAATCATTTTTTTCTGGTTTGGTATTTAATTCTTATTTACATTCTATGTGGTTTGTTTTTTAATCTGGCAATAAAAGACGAGGCAGGTTTTAAACGGGAAAAGAAAATCTTGTCTAGTTAGCATAGAACTGGGATTTAGCAGATATTTGTTTTGGCTTTGTCAGCTCTGCCACAGGCTTGCTCTGTGACCTTGGACAAGTTAACATTTTTGCCTCAGATCCCCTATGTATAACATGTCAATATAATGGTATGAGGAGTATTGAGGCTTATTTTATACATTTACAAAGCACTTGTTGATTCTTGAATGTCTATACATATAAAATGATGGGGTCTGAATTAGCTGTTACCACTCAAGAAAGAGATCTTGGAGTCACTTGGATAGTTCTCTGAAAACATCCACTCAATGTGCAGCAGCAGTAAAAAAATCAAACAGAATGTTGGGCATCATTAAGAAAGGGATAGATAATAAGACAGAAAATACCATATTGCCTCTGTATAAATCCATGGTATGCCCACATCTTGAATACTGTGTGCAGATGTGGTCGCCCCATCTCAAAAAAGATATATTGGAATTGGAAAAGGTTCAGAAAAGGGCAACAAAAATGATTAGGGGTATGGAATAGCTGTCATATGAGGAGACATTAAGATTGGGACTATTCAGCTTGGAAAAGAGACGGCTAAGGGGAGATATGATAGAGGTCTATAAAATTATGACTGGTGTGGAGAAAGTAAATAAGGAAGTGTTATATACTCCTTCTCATAACACAAGAACCAGGGCCGGCTCCAGACACCAGCAAAGGAAGCAGGTGCCTGGGGCGGCCAATAGAAAGGGGTGGGAGTTCATCCGTTGTTGGGGCGGCACGTCCAGGTCTGCAGCGGCAATTCGGCTGTGGGTCCAGTGCCTCGTTTCCTCTCTGCCGGCAGCTCAATCGCTCCGCTCAATTGGGCTTTTTTAATTCACCGCTTGGGGCGGCAAAAAAGCTGGAACCGGCCCTGACAATTTCATTTGGTGACCCCTAGTTCTTAATAGGCAGCAGGTTTAAAACAAACAAAAGGAAGTATTATTTCTTCACACAATGCACAGTCAACCTGTGGAACTCTTTTTGCCAGAGGATGTTGTGAAGGCCAAGACTATAACAGGGTTCAAAAAAGAACTAGATAAATTCATGGAGGATAGGTCCATCAATGGCTGTTAGTCAGGATGGGCAGGAATGGTGGCCTCTATTTGCCAGAAGCTTGGAATGGGTCACTTGATTACCTATTCTGTTCATTCCCTCTGGGGCACTTGGCATTGACCATGGTCGGAAAACAGGATACAGGGCTAGATGGACCTTTGGTCTGACCCAGTATGGCCGTTCTTATGTGTATAGAAGTCCAAAGTATTTTTATTCAGGATATTTTTCTTTGATTACTGCTTTGCCCAGCTCCGAATCAGAGGACTGTCTGCACAAGCAGAGATTATGGCCATCAGTCAGAGGCTAGAAATGCAGATTTTGATTTAAAACATAGTGTCAATAACTATTTTAATTATAAATGTCTTTCTCCATGTGATTTTTCCCCTCCCTCCCTCCCCCAATTAACTGCTAATAAATCCTGCACTGTGGCAGCTTTCCCTGCCCCTAATGGAGACAACCCTCCACAGAGTACCAGAAGGGTATGTGGGTAGGAGATTGTCTAGATCTCAAGTTGTCCATCATTTTCACTGCTGACCCAGTGCATGCTTGCTGGCAACATCACACATGTAAACTGCTCCAGTTCAGAGAAGCAGTAAACAGGGCATAGTAATTGCTTGGCCTGAGCACTCCTGCAGTGAAAGAGATGTCTCCTGTGCCAGACATGCAGGAGGCAATGCATTGGCATCACACTCGCACCTCCCCCATGTGCCAGCTGCCTGAGGCAAGGGCAGGAGTTGGGGCTGTTGATAAAAACAAAAAATGACAGCAAAATCGCCTTCTCTTTCTACATGAATTTTCCCACATTTAGATGCAAATCCTGAATCCAGCAGCTAGCCTGAGTAGCCAGGTTGGGGCAAGGACAAGATGTCCTCCTCCCCAACCAATGGCAGAGTTGCTCACTGGAGGCTAGTTCTTCCTAATGGCCCTTTTTTTGATCAACCCTTTCAACTCCAGCCTGCAACCTCTTTGGGGAGCTAGTGCGGACCAGGGCTCAGACCAAGCAGGAGTTTGGTAGCAGCCTAAAAAACAGGTTTCTATCTAACTTTTGATGATTCACTTTTACAATTCCGAACACCATACCCATACATGGCAAATAATGAATCAGTCTCTTGCACCGAGAGGCTCTGTTTGACCTAATTTAAATAGATACTACTAAAGAATACATGAGCTTGGTTTTTCAATTGTCCTTCAGATAAATACCATTATTGAATCTATGCAATAACTTCCATAATTACATCTGCCAATTAATTTGGAGGGTGGGGGGGGGAGAAGTCTTTTTATACTAAAGATAAAAGCCAACAATCTTAACCTACAAACAGCGGGGAACTGTGATTGACAAAAAGCCTTCCTAATTAAAATGATTGTCAGAGTGTGTTAGAATCAGATTTTCTGAACAGTAATGAGACTAGTCCAACTCCGTAATAAACTCTAATGCAATCTTACGGTTTGTGTTTCTTGTTTCCCCTGGCAGGAATTTGCCTGCCAGTACTATCTTTTTTTTTTTTTATGTTGTTCTTAACAGAATCAAGGGCCAAATTTTGCTCTGTTGCAAATCTGGAACAACTCCACAGGCATGAGTGGTGTCACTCTAGATCAGAGGTCCCCAAACCGTGGGGCATGCCCCCCTAGAGGGCTGTGGAGGAATGTTTGGGAGGGTGCATCTGGGCCCTGCCCCCAGCCACATCCCCATCCTGGTGCCTGTCCCCATCCCCAGACTTGGCACAGCTCCATTCCCAGTCCCACCCCCAGCCTTGGCTGTTGGCCATGGCTTCATTCTCGGCCCGGGACCGAGGCTGGGGGCGAGACCATGAGAAGAACAGCACCTGACCGTGTGTCCCCACTGCTGGCTGTGGGCCTGGCTGCAGCCTGGCCGTGGGTCTGCTCCCACCCCTGGCCACAGACCCAGTTCTGGCCCCAGACCCACCACCAGCTGCGGCCTCCTTATCCCTGTCCATACCCAAGCAGAAGGGAACTGGAGCCAAGTTCTGATCTCAAACTTTTGAGCTGGGGCCTTGGCTCTGGGGTGGGGTGGGGGGGCGTGGACAAGGGTAAGGGGGTCGCGACCCTCAAAAGTTTGAGATCAGAACTTGGCTCCAGTTCCCTTCTGCTTGGGTACATACAAATAGAAAGATTAAAAGGCTTCCTTACTGCTATTTCCTAAGAGAAGTGACACAAGCTACTTTGATTTACTCCACTGGACAAAGTGTTCAAGCTTAGATTATAGGGTAGAGAGATGGATTGCATGAGCCCTGACATGGTCAGCTCTTCTGAGCCTAGGACTAGGAGATGAGCTCCTGAGCTTTATTCCCAGCTCTTGTATAGACTTCCTTTATATCTTCAGATGAATAATTTGATTTATTTGCCTCAGTTTCCTTCTCTGTGAATTGAACATACCACCTACTTCCCGAGATGTAATGAGAATTAATATTTCTAGAGGATTTTGAGTTGTAAAAGTTCACAAATACTGAATATTTGCTAGTAGTTACAAGTACATCCATTATGTACTGGCTCTGAGAGTGCCCACAGATTGTGGGAGGCCCACTATGAACACACAAGATATATAGACTATCCCCAAATAACTCTCAACCTTGTCATAATCCGTCAGTGTTTTATGGGCATCACAGAAGATGTGAGTCATCAGAGGGGACTGTTGTATAGAGAGTGGCCTTGAGGACCACCTCATAAGGGCATTACAGCCATAGTTAACAGCATGGAAGAAACAGACAGATAGTGTGTTGGCACTGGCAGCATTGTTGGAGTGAAGGGAAAGGGGAGATGTAAGAAAGACTTCCTTTGTCTCTTTCTACATCTGTTTTTCTATGATCTTAGCATTTATGGTTCTGTCTCTACTGATCCAAAATAGAAAAAACAATACAAAAATCCATGAAATAACCCCCCAAAAGTACCCTTATTTTATGTGCCCTGTTGCAGAAATTAAGAAGTTCTTGCTTTTAATATTTGACATTCATCATTTTTTTTAATTAATTAGTGCCAAGCTTGTACACGTAGCTATTAATTTCTAGCAATAGCTATGTTTAGACCTTAGCCACATGGTAAAAATCCTCAAACTGTTTTGGCTAAAATAAACTGCTGAAACTGCTCCCAACATAGATTCTGCTTTTGAGAACCTTATTTAAGTAATTCCACGGTGAGTTGTTTGGGGGTGGTTGTGAGTTTATCACTCCTTTTTCATGTGTAGTGAGGCATGAAGTTGAAAGTCCGTTTCATCTAGTTCCAGGAAGTGAATTTGTCTCTCTATGAGAACTGTGTATAGTACTCAGCACCTCAGAACCAAGCCACTTCTATTTAGGGGCCTAAATATGGATTTATGAATAAGGTGGATGGATGGCTGAATAAATGGCAGATCTAAAACCAAATCCAGTGCAATACACAAGTAACGCAAATCATCTAATGAAGATTTTTTTTTTTCTGCCCAGAGTTGTTTGTAATTCTGATATGTGAATATAAGGCATTTATCCTATGCAGAAGTAATTTTACAGGCCAATTAATTCCTTTCTAATCTGCCCCATCCCCTGCCTTCCTTCACTTCCCTCTCTCCGCTGGAAAAAACAAAACAAAAATACACCTTTCATGAAATTCTTCTTAGAAATAAGTGTCCTTCCCCCCAAACTATATTATGGTATGAACAATGCAAAGTAGTTTTCTTATCAATTTCTTCTCATTTTCTTATCCAGAATCTGAACCTGTGATCACTTAGTATACACTACACTTATTTATTATTATTTTTTTAAAGGGGTGGGGTGGGGGGGAGGCAGTGAGTTTCAGATCCCAGATCAGTTGACTCGGGCTCATGCTACAGGGCTAAAAATAGCAGTGTAGATATTCAGGGTTTGACTGGAGCCCAGGCTCTGAGACCCAGCGATGAGGGAAGTTCCCAGAGCCCGGGCTTCATCCTGAACAGGACAGCCTATGCTGATATTTTTAGCCCTGTAGCATGAACCTGAGTCAGTTGACCTGGGCTCTGAGACTTGATGCCGCAGGACTTTTTGGTTTGGTTTTTGTTGTATAGATGTGCCCTTAGTATCAAAGGCTAAATAAATACAATTTTCTGTATTCCTGAATGCATAGTATTTAAACCTTGTGCAGTGACCTTCTGGAGGAGAGGCAGAACATAAACACCTAAAACTAACCCTGTCCGTTAGAAGGCCGCTGTGTCACACTTGCCACAAGGGCCTCAGAGATTCTTCAGGTGCCCGAGGCAATATGTGAAGCTGAGCTCCCCTCCTCCCGCCTCCAAAAGAATTACCATGGGGATGAAAGAGTTTAAGAAGAAGTGAGAAGTCTTGGGGAGTTAGAGGGAGCCCAGGCCTGTGGGGTCACTTCTCTCCCTGTGGTGATAAGGGGGCTCTGCCCTGTGTGTGGCTGGCAGGAGTGTGCTCCTGCTTTCACATTTCCCTGTCTTCTGGCCCCGCTACCAGTGGGAGTGGCATCCCTGACCCTGCTCCTACCTCCAGACTCTCGGTCTGGTAGATTCTCTTGGGCCTGGTGCGACATTTCCAGTGGCAGCAGTGGTGGGATCTGAGGCAGGCAATTTGCTCACTGGACTGTCAATGGCAGGTGGACTATCAATTGCCTCTACCTAAACCAGTTCACAATGCCACTTGCTCACGTTTGGCCACTCTGTCATTTTGGGGGCTCTGTCAAATGGGGGCTCTGGTCAAGCTGTCCCTTTTAGCCCCCCCCCCTTTTAACTTGTTTTTAAGTCATGCTGGTACTAAAGAATGTGATCATAAAAATAACTTGAGCGGTTGCTATAACTACTCGTACTCCAGCTTCTTAGTTCTTAGTCTACATCCTGACTTAAAAAGAAAAGAAACAGTGCAGCTCAGCATATCTAAGCATTACTTTCCCCACAGTATTTTTATATCTGGCTTAATTATGCCTGTCTACAGAAATCTATCTTCAAAGTTAGGTGGTTAAAGGAATGGAGAGCATTCAGGGATACTACCTTTGCCTTGTAGGGTGAGCTACCAATTGTAATAGATTTAATTAATGCATCCTCAGGACTGGAATCCCCATAAAATTAACTTTTGGGTTTCTGATCTCTACTGTGACAAGCATTCATTTTGTAATAGATAAATCCGCTTGCATTGGAGCAGGGCTCTGACCCTCTCACATTTATAGGGGTCAAGTGGGTGTTTGTGGAGAGTAGGGATATTCTTGCCAAGAATCTGCTGCATGAAAGCTGAAAAGATCCCCTTGTGCTTTGGTCCTAATGACCACATTAAAGTGAGGCTCATTTTAAAAGGTAGCATAGAAACCGTACAAAATCATGAGAAAGAAGGAAAGGTGGAGCTGTGGACAAGATAATGCCTGAGAACATTGTGGTTTGGTAACTTCTTATAAAATCTGTGACTTGAAACTGCTCATATCTTTAAGAAAATACAGTAACACTATAACAATTTTGTAATGGTATATTTTATATTCATGGTCCTAAAACTAAAGTGTTATACTTGCACGGCATCTTCTATATGTAAAGTATCTTTACTCATTAACATTAGCAACAATGCCCATAATTTCTCCCAAGAGTCTTTTCCCCTCCTCCACCTCTCCCCAGTGGTAAACAGAACCTATAATTATTAAGAGTGACCATTTTCCTTACTATATCTGGCACCTTGAGTTCCAAAGCCTAGGAACAAAAGGCTCCAGATGTGTGATGCCTGAATGAAGTTGTGCTTGTTGCTGATGGGATGATCCTACTTCCTATCATTCACAATGGAACTGCTCTGTCTAGTCACCTGTAACCATAAAATGGCAGCCCTCAGTGATTCCCTCAATATTCATAGTTATGGAGTTCTGAAGACAGTGACTGGTGTTTCTCTGATGTTTCACCAGATGGTAGAGAACATGTAGAGACTGGTACTAGACTGGAGAAAGGTGAAAGCAGGAAAGAACAGATGTAAAATGATCTTCTGAGCATAAAGAAAACAATGGTGGTTTGCCAGTTAAAACAGATTACAATCGTTAGGTGGCCTTTGTCTTGGGCAGTTTTTCCTAAGGCCTGGTCCCCACTTAGTCCGGACTTCGGACTAAGGTACGCAAATTCAGCTACGTTAATAACGTAGCTGAATTCGAAGTACCTTAGTCCGGACTTACCGCGGTCCAGACGCGGCAGGAAGTCTCCCCCCGTCGACGCCGCGTACTCCTCTCGGCGAGCTGGAGTACCGGCGCCGACTGTGAGCGCTTCCGGGATCGATCCGGGATCGATTTATCGCGTCTTAACCAGACGCGATAAATCGATCACAGAACATCGATGGCGTGCCGCCAGACCAGCCGGTAAGTGAAGACTAGGCCTAAGTGGCAGCTATTACAAGGAGAGGAATTTCAGATGAAATGAATTTTAAAAACTGATGATTTTCTGCAGCATCACTTTAATATTCATTTCCCCCCTTTTCTGTCATCCTTCTAAGTGGTACTGAAACTAGTAAGAAAAATGTTTTAATGTTATGTTGGAACATTGTTTAACTGAACAGTTGGGTAAAGGGCTGTTTCCTTTTCATTGTTTCTGAATACAGGTACTGGCAACAGGACTGAGTGGTCTCTATTCATCTTTGCCTACAAAGCTGGAAGAAAATGGAGAATGGCACTGTCTGCTGAAAGATGACTGGCTCCTGTCCCCAGCTCTTGTTCAGTTCATGAATTCCCTAGAGTTTTGCAATGCAGTAATACAGGTACTGGATCTGACTCAGACTTCTTCTTTGTAGCAGCAGTTAAACTATATAATCAAAAGCCTTTTTCAGGATGTGCTTATTTGGTGGACAGTAGTGTATAGAACTAATCTTTATTTAGTTTAGTTTAAGATCTTTGTTTAAATGAATGAATGAAAGATCTGCTCTAGGAGTTATTTTGGGGAAGTCCTATGGCCTGTGTTATACAGGAGATCAGACTAGATCACAACGATTCCTTCTGGCCTTGGAATATATGAATGTATGAAAAAAAGTGTTCAAAGCTGTTACTGTGCAGTATGACTAATAAAGATTAATCTACACGGCTGGCTTTCAAGTAGCAAATGTTTCAAATTAATAAAATGTGAATATGCAGGTTTGGGGAGTTATTAGATTGAGTAGGAAAAGAATTAAGACTAGTCTCCCAATTAAAGATTGTTGATTGCATTTTAAATACCCACATTGATATTAAAAGAAATCAAATGTCTTTATTTGAGGAAAAAGGTAATTTTATCTATTTGAATAGAGAAGAATATCCCATCTTTACATCTAGGATCTCATAAAAGTCTACAAACAAAAACACTTATTTTCCCTAATGATGCGTACTATATAAAGAATGTTGTTACCCTAGTTGAATTTAGCAGGAGTTAAGCATCTTCTTATCAACACAAATTAAATTCCCTTCAAAATTGGTCTGTGTAGAACTCACTCTCTGTTCTTGATTTCTTGATTAGATTTTTTCCCCCCTTTTGATTCTTGGTTATTTTTCATCTCCAGTCTAAAGATAAAAATCCAGTTTTATATATATTTTTAGGCTACAGTTTTTCTACAGCAAGTGTTTTATGAGAAAACAATACAAATTTTGCTGCATCTGTGGATTTGTTTTCTGTATAAAGAAATGCTCAATAACATTAGTGAAGTTGTCATATTTTACTGTGAATTAAATTTCTATAAAGGTTTGTATGCAAAATATAGTGAAACAACTGACTATATTTGTATAACACAGATGAAGCTTTCTCATGTAAAAAAAACCGTACATGTCATAAATAGAATTAATAGTTGTTTTCATCCCTGAAGCTGCAATATAATCCGCCTTCTAATGCGTACGTGTTGAAAAGTGAAATGGTGACCATACTCATTTCTGTCTACGCTGTTCCAAGAGAGGTTACAATCTTAGCCAGTGACATTTGATACTACATTTATTCATTAGAGTGAAGGCTGTTATAGATAGTAAAGAAAAAGTGAAATTATTTTAAATCAGTTTAAAAATAAATCCAAACAACCAGATATTTTAAAAAATGTTTCTGTAAGGGGGTGGGGGGAAAGACATTGAATGAATTCTATTTTTATGTACTGCTAGATTGTAACTTTACAATCTAACCTCGGTATGAGGCAGAGCATAGCTGGACCACCGCAGGAGCACACCAGAGAACTAATTGTGACTCAGGGTATGTCTGCACTACATTTTAAAACCTGTGGCAGCAAGTCTCAGAGCCTGGGTCTACAGACTCTCATGCTATAGTGCTAAAAACAGCCCTGTAGCTCAAGCGCTGAAGCCCATGTGCCACGTTTCATAGTCCAAGCTCCAGCCTGAGCCTGAAGATCTAAACCGCTGTTTTTAGCGCCTTAGTATGAGACTGAGTCTGTAGATGCAGGTGCTTGACTCTCTGCTATAGGTTTTAAAACACAGTGTAGACATACCCTCAGCCACAGATTCACCTTGGTTGCTTTGGTGAGGGGAATATATCTCTGCTTTTCATGGAATGGTTTATTCTGTGCTGGGACAGCTACTCATACCAGTGAATAAATAGGGAGGGTGGAGCCAGGACTCCAGCCCCTTTGACTCCCTCCATTTCTCCCCATCCACTGGGTTGAAGAGGGGAGTTTTATTGGGGTAGTATCCCCTGTTCTCCCCTCTACAGCCGGAGTCACAAATCTGAGGAGGGCTGAGCAGAGGCATAAGAGGACTGTATTCATGGACAAGTAAGGGCTGTGACATTCTGAGGAGTGGGTGGGTGGGTCTCTTTGTAAGTGTGAAATATATGCATATACTCGGATACATGTGTATCGTAATTAAATTTTTTTTTAAAAAAATACTTGGTTTCTAATACACTTCTGTGCTCCTAGAATACCAAATTTATTTTTAGAAAGTTTTAGTTCATAATGTGTCATAACTGTTTTGCTCTTTTGAAAACAAAAAATTAACTCCACATTGTAAAAATAAGCAATGGTTTGTCATGTTTTACTACACGGTTTTTATTACAAATGACAAGTAACTTATCTTTAAGTGCTTAACCAGTCTATTGTGTGAGTAATTCCCTTTCAGAAGGGAACAAAGATTGCGTGTTTGACCAGTGGAGTGAGAATGCTCCCAATATAGTGTACTCTTGAAATATAGAAAAACTGCCATTCTGCCTTTTTATTGTAGTATTACAGGTTAATGATGGTATGTCCACCTTAGTGACCCTGTCAGGGCTGGTAGGGCTAAAATTAGACCTGCCAGTTCTATTTTGGTTCATGGGCATGTGCATCACATTGTCTGTCCATTCATCCCTGTCAGCAGGCAGGGAGATTGAAATATATGGGAAAAGCCCTGTCTCTGTATCATTGGCTGTATCATTCTTGTTGTTACTCAAATGTACTTTGTGTATTTAATCACAGAGGGGAAACCTTTTAATACCCAAAACAAAAACTGTTCAAAAGAACAAAATCAAGGTATTGTTGAAATGGGCAGAGGTTTTTGACAGTGATTAAAGATATTCTGTGTTTTATCTTATTTTAAGGATCTTTGCAGAAAACTATTGCTTTAAGAACAAATATGATGGTTCAAAGATGCAATTTATCATGACACGAGATTTCTTTTTTAGGTGGCACATCCCTTGATTCGTAACCAGCTTGTGAACTACATTTACGATGGGTTTTTGGTGCCAGTAATGGCTCCTGCACTCCATAAGGTCAGTGATTTGTGTGTGCATACACGTAAGTTTAGACAAAGGCAACACTAATAGCCAATGGGATATTATTAGGTGGTAGTGGTGAAATTCCATATAAACTAATTGCATGTGTTTAGGCCGACTTTACCCCGCCCCCTTCCCATACTCTCCATTTAATGTTTATGGCATTTGATCATTAACGAGGATGGAGGCATCTCTCTGTGATGGCAGGAGATCTTCTTTCAGTAAAGGAGTATGTACTGCTTTATTCTGTTAGAGACGTGACTGTTGCACATCTATTTGAGGTCGGCATCCTCCACCTATCTGGGAAATAAGCCCCAAGTCGGTTGCCAGCTCAGGTCTTACACATGATTATGAAGTAGGTTGGTTGTGGGATGTTATTTCAATACAAGAATGAACAAGTTTGAAATATAAAAACTAAGTCTTGTTTGTTTGACGTGACCTTAATGTTAAATCCATATTAATCCTATTAGTACCAGCATGTTGGTGATGTTAATGGTAGGGGGCCTGTTCCCACTGCGTGAGGAAACCATGGACTGACTTTTTTCAGTAATAAAAAACTATTACATATGGTGATGCACAAAATTTGGCAGCTATGACTCTGATAAGAAATCTATGCATCATGGTGGTTCAGTTGAAGTGTCATTAGCCTTACTGCTGTACTATCTGTCTACTTCTTGCTCTTCAGCTTAGTTCTGCTCTTAGTTAAAGAGCTGAAGCAGTAGCTTCTAACCTGTTTCCAGCTTTCTAAAGCAAGGTTTATATTCTATATTGTCCTACTGCTTCTATGGAAGTGCTGAGTACTGTACCCATGTTTGGAGAAGAAATGGTGATTCTCCTTCAAGTGCTGGTCCCTATGAGTATTGCACTGTGGGTACAGTACTCCATTCGCTTGAGACCAAACAGTGCTTGCTATTAGCTACTCCTGGGGGAATTATGCGCCAAAAAATTAAAAATTCTGCGCACAAGATTTTAAAATTATGCAAAATTCTGCATAATAATATATTTGTCAAAATATCATCATATAATCACACCAGTTTCAATTATTTTTGGTCAATTATTTCAAATTATATGATGATAATCACACCAGTTTCAATTATTTTTGGTCATTTATTTCAAATTACCTGTCAGCAAGTATGTCTGTAACAATACAGACAAAAAAGATTCAGAAAATATTTTTGGACAAAAAATAGTGGACTTACACTATATCTACACTGTCCCACAGTTCGAACTACAGGGATATGAATACAGTGCCCACCAAAGTGCTCCACTGTTAATCCCCCATGTGGATGCTGTGAGGGCAAACTAAAAGGTTCCTAGTTGGCATTAATGTAGTCCTACAATATGAACCTTTTAGTTTGTACCCACAGTGTCCACATGGAGGAGTTACAGCGCAGCACTTTGTGTACATTGCTGTTCACACACCCGTAGTCCAAACTCTGGGGCAGTGTAGACAAACCCTGAGAAATTCCTTTCTGAGCAACTACGGAAAACATTGTATCAATATTGGGACAACAGAAGCTCAAAAATCTTGTCAGAAATAATTTATCTTTTCTGGACGAAAGTTTAAATGTCTTTATGTTCCATGTCAACTGCTCCAAAGAAACTACACAGGAGCAGGAAAGTATTCGAATAGTGGTCTCTGCGTATAGTAGAGAGTTATATGTGAAATTTCATTTATTGAGCAAAGCATACAATTCTGGCTTCTTACAAAAAGGTGAAAATAGTTTCCATTTTTGCTAGTGAAGTCTTATAGATTTTTCTTGTAAAATTTAGTGATTTTGGTAAATTTTCTTTTTTTGCTCAATTACAGCAAAATACTATAAATTACTATACATTTACAAAAGTTAGACTAAACTGGACAATATTTCAATATACAGATTGGGCAGTTCTGAAGGATTTCTCTTTTGCAATGAAAATATGCAAGACTCAAAATCGGATTTTTTCAAAAATCCACCTACCAAACACACAACATTTAATTGATATTAAATTGTTATAAAAACTGGAATCTGAATGGCAAAAAATAATCTGCTTGTGTGCAACAAGTGAAACCTTCTACCAGATTAAATCAGAATTATGGATTTACTGGTCAACCAGACACCCTGTGAACTGGAAGTCTTCAAGCCGGCAGCAGTGCAGACCAGAAAAAAAAAAAAAGCAAACACTGTACTGCCTTGGGGCTAAATCCTAGAGGCTTAGGGCTTCAGCCACTGGAAGCGGGGGGGAGAGGGAGGCAGGTCTGGGGCTGCAGTTGCAGGGTGGTAGGGTGGAGTCAGGGCTCCGGGCATCTTACCCTTGGGAGCACTGGGGCTCAGGGCTTTAGGTGGGTGAGGAGCAATGGGGAGCAGGGCTTCAGCCCGCAGCTCTGCTCACAGTTTCCATGGGGGGTAGGGGGTGGGTGCCAGTCACAGGCAATGGCTTCCTCCTTGCTTCGGGGGTGCTCAACCTCTGCTCTGGCCCAGGCCCCCACCCCCACTGTACCCCTTCCCCCAAGCCCTCAACCCTGCCCCGCCTCTTCCCGCCCAGTTCTGCCCCCCTCCCCGTAGAATGCCCCATTCCCCCTCCTTCCCCCCCCCCCTCCAGTGCCACCAGGGAACAGCTGATTGCAGCGGGCGCTGGGAGGGAGGGGGAATGTTACGCTTATAAAAAGCACATGAGATCTTTTTATAGGAGAAAAAGGCAACACGCCGCATTTATTGAGAATATAGGAGTTAGCATATGCTTTTCAGACACACACAGACAGACAGTCTCGCTATTCAATGTTTATAATTACCAGTCCAGAGTCTGGATCAATCTAGTGGTCAGCCAGATTGGTCACAGAGGGGAGCCGGGCTCTGTTGGTCGCAATCCGATGCTCCTGGAGTTGTGGCAAGATGAACCCAAAGTTCCATGGCAAAGCACCATGTTCTTATAGTCCCTTTTCTCTGTTGAAGTCTATGGATTTTGCTGTGTCATTTATGACCGGTTACGCCTTAATTGGTGTTCTCTTTTGATGTTAACACTCAAAAGCACCTCCAAGAGGGTCATCCTGTCCTGGTTTCGATTTAATCAATTATCTTGTCTTTAGGGGTGCCAGCCTCCACCAAAGGGTCGTCAATCTGCCCTTCCTCAGTTATGGATGTGGTTGATGGTTCTCTGGTGTCGTTAAATCTCTTTACTCCTCCTTCCTTGACCAACTGACTTTAAAATGGCCTTCACACCTTATCTTTTCCTGATGCATACACTCTTCATTCACACAAACAGTCTTTTACAAAGGTATACAAACAGAAGTGTTTTATGTTGAGCAAAAAAGACATTGTAATTAAACCTTACTAAATCTTGTGACCAAAACAGTTCACATTGGGGCATGGGCCTTCAACTTGCCTCTAATCTTATTAACATAGACATAATGCAAGATCCTGTCTCTCTTACTTACTAAACCTTAAAACAAAGAATTGTATATTTAACTAAAAGGCCTAATTTGTAATGCATATAGGACACAAGACCCCATAGTAAACATAACTTATCCTAAAACCGAGGGTGACCATAATCAGCCATAAAGACTGTTCTGGTCTGTTCCTGCCTTATCAGTAGACATACTGGCAGTCTGTCAGATGCGTTTCTACCAATGTCCCAGAGGGTCATTCCTTTCTGCTATTCAAAAAGGATGGCTGGCAGGATGATCAAATCATACATTAATACATTTAATACAACCTACATTATTATAACCTCTAATACAAATATAAAATCCTACTCCTACAGGAGGAGTTGATCGGCTGGGCCACCGGTGGGCAGGAGGTGCTGTGGGGGAGCGGGTAGCTGACTACCAGTGGGTGCTAAGTACCCACTTTTTCCCCCCCATGGGTACTCCAGTCCTGGAGCACCCATGGAGTTTGGTGCCTATGGTGCCAGGGCTCAGGGCTTCAGCTCCGTGGATCTATTCCCACCTTCAGCCCCATAGGGGTGCTGGGTCTTGGCACTAGCTACAAGGAGAGCACCAGTTTCAGCCCCAGCACTCCCCGCATAGCTAAAGCCCCAAGGCACCCCTCTTACCCCCCCCCCCACTGAAGCAGGGAGTGGAGCCCTGGCCCCTCCCCACCCCCCATGGCTGCAGCCCCAATCCCCCATGTGGCTGAGCTCCATAACCTCTTCTTCAGAGTTACGGACAACCACCATTCCCAAGGTGTCCGTAACTCTGAGGTTCTACTGTATTGAAAGTAGAGAAAAAGATTCTAAATTGGGTTATCCAGTCACTAAGAGCCAAATTCTTTTTACAGTTACTTTTTTGTCAATCCAGAATAATTTATCGATGTCTTGGGAGTTGTTCTGAGTTTACTCGTTTTAAGTGAGAGCAGAATTTAGCCCCGAGATTAGGCTAATCTGGCCCTGGCTATGAAGTATTTGAGATTAGTTGGGCATTAGTATTTAAAAAGCTAAAAACTGTCAATATCTGTCATTAAACCAGTTAACGAGAAATTGGGCTGGCTATCACCATGTAAATGTTACTTAAAGAAATCAGATCTCCACATCAGTGAAACTGCTGCTAACATTTCCTTTTTATGGGCTCTGTCAGTGGTACTTAAGGCTTATACATCTCTGAAGTCAATTGAATTCAGGTTTCTTTTGAAAACAAAAGTCAACTTGGCTGTTAGGAGAGTATTTGAGCTCCAAGCCTTAGGCTAGGTCTACACTACCCGCCTGAATTGGCGGGTAGAAATCGATCTCTCGGGGATCGAATTATCGCGTCTCGTCGGGCCGTGACAATCAATCCCTGAATCGACGCTCTTACTCCACCAGCGGAGGTGGGAGTAAGCACCGTCGACGGGGAGCCGTGGAGGGTCGATTTTGCCGCCATCCTCACAGCGGGGTAAGTCGGCTCCGATACGTCGAATTCAGCTACGCTTTTCGCTTAGCTGAATTTGCGTATCTTAAATCGACCTCTTTCCCCCCCCCCCGGAGTGAAGACCTGTCCTTAATCATTAATGAACCTTCTTCAGATTCAGCAAGTCCATTGTTCTTCCAATAACATACCTTTGCTGGCTACCAAAACTTCTTTTCAATTTTCATCTTCAAAATTAACAACTTAATCCACTATTTCGCCTAAACATATTTAATGGAGGACAGACTGCACCGTCCAGTGGATTTGAAGAAAGGCTCAGATGCAACTGAGACAAACCCCCTAGAAAGAGGTAACGAGCAAATGCAGTTACATCTGAGGTCTTCATAAAACCCAGAAAAACTCCATAATAGGTTACTATTTTAAACCCTTGCTTCTGGGACAGACACCTCCTGGCTGAGTAGATAAGGAAGATTTTTCACTGTGCTGGAACAACTCCTTCATACATAGAAACCATTTCTAATTGCCACCCAAAAAGTTAGTGCTGAGTTGATGATGATTTTTCAAGTTATCTCACTCATCCACCTGGAGACTTGTTTTTTAATAAAGAAAGGGCAAAATGAGAGAAACTCCTGAGCCAAATCCTTACTTAAATCAGAAAATAGATTCCTCTTCCATTATACACAGTGCTGTGGGCTTCCTAATTTCTAAAATAATTGAAGTTATTTGGGGATGCTAAAATATATCTGGGATCCAAAGGCTTAAATGTCCAGATAAATATCTGATCTTTTTGGACATTTCTGGCTTAATACTGCAAAACTTGCTCCTGCTATTCCTCCCCTCCTCTCTCCCTCCCTCCCCCTTTTGAGAGCTCAGATACCAAATTGATCAGCCTAGTTAGGTAGGTAGGTCTGTGGAGGATTAAATGTGAGGGAGAGATGGTTGGTGTGTTTATTACTATGGATGAATTTTTCTAGTCTAGACCATTCTGGTTGGGCAGTTTGTTTAGTTTTTATTTGTGGATTTTAAGTACTCTATTACCCAAAGCCATGGAATAACTGCTTTCAATACATCTACATAAGCCGTCTGCCCATTGCAGTTGTTAACTCAAAACCTAGGAGCAGCGCAAAAACTAGAATCCAAAACCCATCCATTCCCAAATGGTTTTTGTGGGTGGACCTCAGATCTGAGCTCTGGTTCCAAACCTGTCCCCATGGTTAACGGCTCTGCTTTGGAAGGAAAGAACATTGAAACAGTCATTTCAGTTCAGATTAGTGTTCCATCTGGTCCAGTCTGGTGAAAGTGAGGCAGTACGGGCCGGTACGACGTACTGGTAAAAAGTGGCCTCCGGTACCAGCCCATACAGCTGACTTTAAAGCACTGCTGCGACAGTGCTTTAAAGGACCCTGCTTAAAGCACTGCCGCAGCAGCGCTTTAGCATCGCTGCCCCTTTTGCACCTCGCATCGGCGGCCCTGCCAGGTTCCTAGCTGCAGGGCTGCTGATGCGGGGGGGAAAAGGAGCAGCTGCCCCAGGGCCGGCCCTTTAAATCACCACTGGAGCCCTGAGCAGCACGGACCAGGCAGCGCGGATGGGCTGGCTGGGGGACGCTGACCCCCCGCCCCTTCTGCCCGAGGCCCTGCCCCTTCCAGGGGTGAAAGGGTTTTGGAAGTCCCTAACTGTACCGGAAAGAGATAAATTTTACTTTCACTCCTGGGTCCAGTATCCTGTTACAGAAAGGTGCAATGATGGTTAAACCATCTTTCTTCCTAACCTCAGGAAGTTGGTGGTTGGCTTATGCCCTGGAGCATGAAGGTTTATACATTTTATTTCTTAACTGTGGATGTACATATTAAATATAGGAAATTCAGTTTTCTTGTCTATTCCATGGCTCTCCAAAGCCCTGCTACACTCTCTAAAAGGCTTCCCTCTCTGTTCCAGAGCCTCCTGGAGCTGACAGCAGCCTATTATACTCCTACTGCTGTATTATACTCCTATTATTATACTCCTACTGCTGTATTATGGGTGTGTAAATGGGGCAGAGCAAGTTGGGTCATCAACTTCTTTCTACCCAGTTCATATTATCCTAAAGTGACTTTACCTAGTGCCCCCCTCCCCCATTTTACAAAAAGAGCCTGGTTTTCCTCCACCAAGAAGACACATGCTACAAAGGGGAGAAAGTTATAGGGTATGTCTTCTCTTGTAGGGTGGGGAAGGGATTGAACTGCAAGGGGGACAAGAGGATCTTGAGGGTAGGCATGGGCTTTCAAAGCTTGTATAGTCTGCATAAACACTTGAATTTACAGATGCTTATTTGAACTAAATTCTAAACACTTGGAGAGTCACTTGTCACTAAAAAGTTGTTTGGTATTTTGGACCTGATCTAGTGTGTGCCCTTATGTGATATTTGTTTTACAATTGTACAAGAATCCTCTTGTAGCCCTAGAAACAGGGTGAGAATTATTTAAATCGGAAAATAAGATTATTTCAATAGACTCATAGACTTTAAGGTCAGAAGGGACCATTATGATCATCTGGTCTGACCCCCTGCATGTTGCAGGCTACAAAGCCGTCCCTACCCTTTCCCTTGACTCTGCTGTTGAAGTCCTCAAATCCTGTGGCTTAGTGACTTCAATTGGCAGAGAACCCTCCTGCTAGTGATCCCTGCCCCATGCTGCGGAGGAAGGCGAAAAACCTCCAGGGCCTCTGCCAATCTACCCTGGAGGAAAATTCCTTCCCAACCCCAAATATGGCGATCAGTAAAACCCCGAGCATGTAGGCAAGAGTCTCCAGCCTGACCCTCGTTAGCCATTATACTATTTACCTGCCATGGCACGGTATTCCTTTGGCTAAAATCATGTTTTTCTATTAAACCATTCCCTCCATAAACTTATCTAACTTAATCTTGAAACCAGACAGGTCCTTCGCCCCCACCGTTTCCCTCGGAAGGCTGTTCCAATATTTCACCCCTCTGATGGTCAGAAACCTTCGTCTTATTTCAAGCCTAAACTTCCCCACAGCCAGTTTATATCCATTCGTTCTCGTGTCCACATTAGTACTGAGCTGGAACAGTTCCTCTCCCTCCCTGGTATTTATCCCTCTGATATATTTAAAGAGAGCAATCATATCCCCCCTCAGCCTTCGTTTGGACAGACTAAACAACCCGAGCTCCTCTAGTCTCCTTTCATACGATAGGTTTTCCATTCCATTCAATGTATGTTGAAAGGAATATAGACTTATTATGAGGAACCTTTAGGTTGACCAGCTAATATCTTCCACCCCAGGCTTTCAAAGTTTCCGGAACCCACACTGCTTATTGAAATAAATCATTAGTACATAAGTCAGCTTTCCTTCAAAAGCTCACTCTGTTTTTGTATGGGCACTGATAATGGGGGGACTGTAGGGCAGTTCTATAGACCCACCATTAGGTGGGTCACAGAGTTGTCTCTTATCTATCCCAGGATGACTCTTGTGCAGAACCCTGACATCTGGGGCAGAACCACAACAGTTTTACATTTTATATAGTTTATTAATTAAACTAAATTAATAGAAAGTATATAATAAAATACATATAAGCAAAATTAAATGAAAAGAGGTTAATATCAATCATCAAATTAATCTTGTTACTGGTATGATTAAAATATATCAAATAAACCAACAGTTCCTTATAAGCATTAGCTTAATAATTTGGGAAGGCAGCAATCTTGTTTAGTTGTTAGCCCTAAAAGTAACAGATCCTTACTCATTGCAGTTGTGATTCCAGCTCCATAGCTTATATGGGGAGGGTCAGATCACTCCTAGTTTAGAGCTAATGTTGAGACTACAGCTCTGATGCCAACTAGAGCAGTATGCCAAAATTACAGGTGATTTAGGTGATAGTCAATCTCTTCCTCTTCTCTCTGCCCTCCCAATGTAAAGTTCCATGAAATATTCCAGGATTTTTCAAGATGACATGGCTTGCTATGTTGGACTAGCAAACAAGACTTTTATGTAAAAATAACATTTCTCAGGATTCAAGTATACATTAAGATATGTTGTATTATATTGTATTTAAAATAGGTTGTATTATCTAAGGGCTAGGTGTTTGAAAACTATTCTATAGGCACTGTTCTCAGAAAAATTCTATGGGTTCTGTCTACACACACTCCTGTGCATGTACACAGGACATGTTCCCTCTGGTGGTGGTAAAATTAAAAAGTGCAAGAATACAGAAGTAGAGAATTAGAAGCTTCCCTCTACTAATAAAAATTGGGAAAAGAAAATAGAACCCAAAAAGGTTGCTAGTCATGCAGGATAGTTACTGAAGCCACAAAAGCTACATTCAGCTTCAGGAAGCTGGTACATGGTTGGAAAGATTAACCAGGTTATTTTTTTCGGCTCAAATGAGTGTTGATGGACTTGCTGGCTGGTTTGAGGTTAATTGTTTGTAGATGTCAAAACTCCGGTATTGCAGTGTTGCTGGACTCTCTCCCTCGGTGGCCAGCTGGGAGGGTAGAGGAAGCACTGGCCTCCTCTTTAGACATGCGTTGCATGGCTAGAGACGAGCTGCTGCACCAGGCAAACAGGTCAGCAATGGCACTTCTTTTCCTTTGGTTGTTGAAGATTGTGGCCTAGCTAGGTCCTGCCTCTTGGGACTTTTCCTCATGAGTTTTTTGGCAAATCGGAATGGGTCCACTCCTGTTCTGATGTCACTGGTATCACCCAGTGGGATTTGATTAGGGCTTCTTTATACAAATGAAGAACTTCCCTATTCTAGTAATTTCAGGGTCTGCAAGTCCATGGATCCAAAAATATATTGCCAGTCAATAGGTATTTTGAGATGTTTGAGGTCATGGGTTGGTGCACAGACATTATCTCAAATGTTCTGCAAAAGTCCCAACTCAAAAAATAATTTAGAAAATGCAAAGCTAGCAAAAATATATAACTGAAATAATAGAAAAACACCAACTGCACATTCACAGCCATGCACATAGAGGAAAAGTTCCTGTTCTCAAGACAGATGCTTATAACTTTCTCTTATATTTTCAGCATTTTTTAACAGACACACAACCTGGGCTAGAGATTAGACTTTAACTTGGTCAGAGCAAAAAGTCTTTCTCCTAAAATCAGAATTTTGGAGTTCAGCTTTCATATGAAGGCCTAGCTATGTCATAATGCTGTTATATTTTGCCAACATGTCACTTATAACTTGAAACAGTGTGATTTCTAAAAAGAAGCCTCATTTTCAGTGTTCTGTGTCAGTATCCTGGCATGTAAGAAATAAATACACCCTTTTTTCCTAGGTGACAGTACTTATAATACAATTAACAGTAAGTACTATATGTCTCAATATTATATTAATGCTGCAATACATTAGATGCATCTTGTCACATTTTCAAAACTAACATTTGAGAGAGAGTTCACCAAAAATAAGATCTGTTGAGCCAAAACCTGCAAAATTCCAATTAAGCAAATGGGACAGATTATGTTCAGTTAACCAGTGTAAATCCAGAGTAACTCCAGTGAAGTCTATGGAGCAATGGTAACCAACGGTAGATTGCAATTGACTGGTCGATCCTGGAGCCTCTGCCAGTCGATCACGATCTCCGGCCGTAGAAGTCTGGCAGCGTAGCGGGGCTAACGCAGGCTCCCTGCCTGCCCAGGCCCCACGCTGCTCCTGGAAGCAGCTGGCATGTTTCTTGGCTTTGTTGGGAGCAGTAGAGATGGCTCTAGCAGCAGCAGCACTGGGGGGCACGAGCCAGAGGGAGCAGATGGCACAACCTGGAGCTGGGTGGGGAGGGACACAGTCGGAAGGAGTGAGAGTTTATTTAAATATGGGACATGTGATTACATGGAGAAAGATGTACATCTAGGGACTCACAATAAAAACCTGCACCAACCCCCTTGGTTTTGTTGTTCTGCCACTGGCAGATGGGAGAAGGAGATGGGAGCAGGATGGCCCAGACCAGGTGGGGCCCGGTTAGCATTTGCTGTCCTTGCTGGTTGTTAAATCTGCCCCTGCAATAGATCTCACCTTGGTGCACTATATGGTAAATCAGCTATTCAAGTACAGGACTTCTCCAAGCAGATAATCCATCTACTGTGGTAATTATTTAAGATTAAGATCTACTCTGGGTTACACAAGAGACAAACTGGGGGATGATCATTTGTTAATGCCACTATATAGACAGGGGACTAGTTCATTACAACATGTATATGCCTTAAGTACTGTATATTTTTGTGACTATCCAAAAATAATTTTCTACTTTAATTTGGGAGTGATGTCATCCTTCTCCTTACTGAAAACTGTTTGCACAAGGAAGGATGGTATTGGGGGTATAAATCAGTTCATTGAAAGACCTGGTGTTGCTTTATTCTCTGGAAAAGGCATTCACTATGCCAAATGCTGTACGGTATGTATAAAATACCTTTCACTTTGGTATCTAACTAGCACATGGGTAGTTGCTTGGTAGGAGGCACTATGAGCTCCTTCTAGGAGAAAATGTGAAGCAGGGGCTGAATCATGATAGCCATATTCCTATGAAAGGGGGAAACACTGTAAATTAGCAGTTATATTGTAAGGAGCCAGCAATAAAGAATCAGTGCACTTGGTCTTACACAATGAGAGTAATATATTAAACTGATACTCACAATGACAATTATTTGACTCCTCACTATGTCAGAAGCATAGTGACTTGTGAAACCTGCATCATTTACATAGTTGCCACTCCGTCATCTAATCCATAATCACAGAAGATAGAGATTTGTGGGGAGGGATAGCTCAGTGGTTTGAGCATTGGCCTCCTAAACCCAAAGTTGTGAGTTCAATCCTTCAGGGGGTCATTTAGGGAACTGGAGTAAAAATCTGGGGATTGGTCCTGCTTTGAGCAGGGGGTTGGACTAGATGACCTTCTGAGGTCCCTTCCAACCCTGAGATTCTATGATTTACTAAAATCAATGTCATAATTAGAGAAGAGCACCAGATTTCAGGGATGGCTTTCTCATGGTTTCTCCATTTTGAATAATCTCTAAGCAAACTTGTGTCTCTCTAAGATTGTGAAGACTCCGTCAGTCTATCCTGTAGCAGAATATACATTAAAAAAAAGATTTGTACCAACCATTTTCTTTATGAAAAAATGTGGGGTTCTTTTAACTATTGAATAAAAATAACCTCTGATGGAGACAAATGTGGATGATAACACAAATTGTAGGTTGCTCAGTAGATGAATGACGTAGAAGTAGATTTTTTCCAGCTTTTTTTCTTTTAAATACTAGAATGCTATAGTAGGATTTGAAAAGACCACTTGTCTCATACAGTCTTGGCTATTTTGAATAGGAAGGTTGAAATGTAGAGGATGCTGTGAATGGTTTTGGGGCAGGTTTTTTTTTGGTTTGGTTTTTGTTTGTGTTTAATTGTAATATTGGAAAACTCATTTATTAACATTACCTATTCAACCTAAATTCCCTTGTAAAGGACTTTTTTGCAAGGGGATGTGGGGTGGGGGGGAACTCATATTTACTTGCTTTGACCAGCTCCCTTTCTTGTGATATTTCTTGATGCTTAGAAATTTAGGGGTATCTGAAGAGAAGGGAGTTTTCAAACCTCAAGAAAGATGACATTTGAAGGTATGGGGAACCTTTCAGGCCATCTCTTTGTTTTTTCAAACTTGTTCATATAAAGCCAAATCCTGAGTGCCTTAATGAGGTCCCACTCTGAGAAATGCCTATTGAAATCAGTGTTTACAATGAAACAAGGGCTCAGATTTGGTCTTGGTGAATAGCAGTGACATGGGTAGTAAACACTTACATCCCTGGTTCCCAGAGAATGCATCTTTGATGTTAGGACTGTTTTTAGGAGCAGGTTAGACAAACACCTGTCAGGGATGGTCTAGACAAATACTTAGTCCTGCCATGTGTGCAGGGGACTGGACTAGATAACCTCTTGAGGTCCCTTCCAGTCCTTTGATTCTATGATCTATTGTCTGCATGCTGTAAAGAAATTGGTATGAATGTCTTCTAGAGAATCAAACCTGATATATTGCACTTAACTCAGGACACAGTCTCCAATCTGTTCAAAAGGGAGAGAGGCAAATTGAAGGTTGAAGAAGAGAATAAAGAAAACAGCACTATAGTTAAAATATAGTGTATCGGGGCCTTCAAGCACTTCCAATGCTCCCACTGACTCCAACTAGCTTTCTCACAGTGCCAGTGAGGAAAGATTTTGTGACTTTTCCACCTATGACCGGATACTCTGTAAGAGCAGAAGTTGTTTTATTTTTCTCTGGGGTAATGGGAAGGAGTTTTCCTTGCTAAAAGTCTCTAAAGTCAAAACTGAAGGGAGGCAGTTAAATAAAAGTTAAATTGTTTGGCATAAAGCAGAAATTAAGAGAGGAATCACAAAATGTATGACAAGAGTAAATGAACACATCCATTTAGCTATTGTGGAGGCATTGCTGGGTGAGCCCAAAACTTGAGTTATGAAATTTCTCCCTCATCTGTAGTCTAGTCTCTGTGTTTGTGTAACCTTTCACTGTAAGACGGAGTTCTCTCTCCTTAATATACTCCTTTCCCTTTCAGTCTGGAAATGCAGATACTTCATTATGTAGCGGGGCCCATTGTCTTGGTGTCCGTGTGGAATAGAACAATGTTTTTCTCAAACCATGGTTCATCTTTGTTGTAGGATAAATTATTTTGTTCTCTTATTTTGTTCAATTCTTTTTTCTTGTACTCCTGGTATTTACCTGAATACTAATTTGCATTTAATAAAAAGAATTTACACACTTCCCAAAATCCCTCTCCCAAAGGCATTTAATTGAAGGCAAGAGAAGTAGCAGGTAGTCTGCAGAAAATTTAATTAATTTCCTCGTTTTTGATATTCCTAGGAAAAACTGCTTCAGTATCAGCCATGCAAATGAACTGAGTCCCAGTTTCCAGGCTAACTGTCCTATAACATAACCTGTAGAATACAATATTTCATTTCCCAAGGTTTCCAGAGAAAGTGCAATTCATATAGGACAGAGACACCAACTGTCACAAATAGCATGAAAGAAAACAAAAGCAAAAAATGTGAGATGAAGAGGAGATGCACAGAGTACTGATAAACTAGTTTGAAAAATCCAGTTGCCACCTTAATGGCTCCCTTTCCCTTTACTCAACTACATGCCATGGAGGTAGAACCCATGGCATGTAGTGGAGTACTTTCTGCCAAACAGCAGCAATCTTTTTCTTTTGCTAGGTTGTGAGCTGGGCTGCCTCGGGGTAGTTTATATTTATATTTTATATATATATATATATATATAAAACTATAATTATGTTAAAAGAACATGCTTAAGGTTGCGAAGTTCAGTACTGAAAAATAAAGAAATGCCAAAATTCATAGGAGTTGCCTGTGCAACCTTAATTCATCCCCCGGTGCATATGCATTATAGTACAGTCTTTAATTACATGAGCACATACTATTTTTTGACAGGATCCCAGCCTCATTCAGTACACGAGATGGCTGTTGCTCACTTAATGAGCAGCTGTGCAATATTTTTTCTCCTTGTTCAACATGTGGTCCCAGGCCTTATTTAATTTAAATCCTGCTCTGAACACAGAACTGTTAACTTACTCAGGAGCTTTTCTGTGATGCACATCACCACAGTCTGGGTTCTTCACAAACAATGCATTTATTTTCACAAAACCATTGTGAGAGGAGGGAGCTAATGTAAAATGAAGGTGAGTTACTGCAGATTTACATCTGTTTAAGCAAGAATCAGGCCCAGAGATTTCAGATGGCTGCATTACATGCCAATCGTAGCACAATGAGTAATGAGCCTTTTAACTGGCCCACATACAATATCTATAATGGTGACAAGCCCTTTTGCACTTCCTCTTCCACTTTCTCCCTTCCACCAAACTCCACGACACTTTTTGTCCTGTGTTTGTGTTTTTTACTCTCACTCTTCCAAACCGCTTCCTTCCATCCCTGTCACAGTTCATCAAACTCTTTAGTCTCAGGTCAGTTCTCAAAAAATGACAGAGAAGGGTTGAAAGATCACTGGTTCCATGATATTTAGTATGTCCTACAAATACTGTTTCAGCACTGTACTGTGCATTTTAATTTTTTCTTTGTAGAATCCCACCCAATCCTCACTTAAGGCCCATGTTACATGTTATGGTTAGTAGAGACTTACTAGATCTTCACAGCTAGATTCCCTGAAGATTCTGCACACACTGGGAATGCTCTAGCCCTGGACTGCACAGGGTTCCCAGAAATTTGCAGCTCTGGGCTGCTGCTTGCTGTGCTATATCCAGGCACCTCAGCTCAGAGCAGGGAGACTCTCCTGTGCCCTCAATGCTCCCCTGCAGCTGGTGGGAGGAAGGTGCCTCATTCAAATGCAGAGGGGACAAGAACCAGATCTTGGAGAGTGGGGGAAGAGGTGAGTAGATTGGGACAAGGAGCCTGGGATTGGGTAGACTGGCATGGGAGAGGTACTGGGAGGCTGGGACTGACTGGGCAAAGGGACTGGGAGCTGTGTGGATCACTGAAACTGTGAACCATTGGGGCAGGGTATGATGTGGGGAGATGTATCTGATGAGTAGTCAGGTTGCGGGGGCAGTTCTGGAACTGGCTGGGTGAAGAAACTGCTGATGAACCATATGGGTGACAATATGATGGAATTTGAGATTTTTGCAGTTTGCTTTTCAAAAAACTTAGGGATCGAGTTCTCCAAGAAAGCATTCAACTGCCTTAACCATGACACCCTCCCTTCTCTTCCTGCAATCCCCTGCGTCATTCACTACACACCTTCCAACTTCTGCAATGAATGAAGCAAGGATCCAACAGGCAACAGCCTCCTTCACTACACAACCCTTATTTATCCTCAGAGCTGGTGCATCCTGTGCAGGGGCCCTCTTGTAATAACTGGGCCAACAAATTTGCCCTAATTGTAAGCTCAGCTGTAAAAAGAAGTATGTAAAAGTTCATAAAATGGACTGATGAGAAAAAGTATGAAAGGGAGAGAAAAACAGAATTCAGCTAAACAAAAAGGCCTAGTGATATAATTTGAGGACCATGTTAAAATCATGCTTAGTAAAAACATCAGATGTGGAACCAGAAATTAATGAACCAAAATTGGTGTGTAATTGGTGGACAGAATAATGAGGTAAGGAGATGGACTATTCCACCCACCATTCTCTTTGTGCGTCCTTAAAGAAAGAGACTTTAGGGGAGCGGACAGACAGGAACAGACAGAAACTACTGAAGAAAATTTCACCATGATGGCTGCCACCCCTACCATCTCCTGATACCCCAGTCCTCCTTTGTCCTAATTATAAGAAATGTCCTGACCACACTAGGCCAGAGAGAGAGGGATCCAGATAACATTGCCACCTCTACCAGACTGAATCCCAGTCACCACCTGGGATGAAACGAGATCAGACTTTAACATCAGCAACAGCAGCAACTCAGCTAAAAAGGACTTTCCCCAAAAGGACTGTTTGTTATTAGCATCTTTATTACCATCTAAGGGACTGTCAAACAACATTTTTCTTTATAAAATCTCTCTCCAGCTAAAGGGGAAGGGAACAAGTGATGATGTTAAAAGTGAAAGTCTTACTTTACATTTCAGATGTTTTAACTGTTTTTCCTTCTCTTTTGTATCTTCAAGAAAATGTTAAAAGGATTGTTAATGGTGTGTTTGCCATGGTACTGTACAGGCTACTGAACCCTGAACCTTATTTAACAGTGATATTGAACAGTGACTGGGTTATGTTAACAAATTGGGCCCATATATTCCACCAATACTATGTGATCATGTAATCAAAGGCTGTGTCATAATGCATAAGCACAAGGGGGCTGAATTAAGGCTGCCGAGGAAATCTTAATTTTGGCATTTTCTAAGTATTGAGTGCTTGACTTCCCAATCTTCTAACTTGTGTGTGTGTGTGTGTGTGTGTGTGTGTGTGTGTGTAGTAATACA